CGGGAATTGAAGGCAAATTTCAAACATTAAATTTGTTTTCAGTTCACCACCCCCCCCCTTATTTTGAATTTTTGTAATCGGAAAATGGAAAAAATTCACAACAACGACGAAATTATGGCAATTGAATTGACTCCTGACTTCCGACTTTTACCCTTCGACAGAAAAAAAAATTCGAAGAAAGAAGAAAAATAAATTCGACTGGCAATGCTCACATTATTGAAAGAAACGCTCTGAGTTTCGTATTAAAGCCAACGTGTTAATAATTTTTTTATTTTATTGATTAAATAATGATGGCAAAAGAAAAACAAAGGAATGGAAAGAAGAGAAATTTTTTTATTTTTTTTTTATTTAATCATTGATTCATTTTTTCTTCGGCGGCACTTGTGCGACTTGGATCATCTTTGATCAGTCCAGACGCGACTTGTCCCAACGGTGGACCAGGTCAATCGGCGGTTCCGGTTCTGTTTGCGTACCACGTCGAGAGCCGACGTTACCGAATAACGATCTGGCCTGACCAGGCTCATCGTTGTGAGTTTCCTCATCGCTATCGGCCGGTCGGTCAAACAATGGTTGAAATTCATGCCGACCTTCTTCACTTGGCTCGATCCATTCTGTACCTGTCTCGGCGGTTGTGACCCGACGTACATTTGGATGGTACTCCCCCGCGCTCAATGGAGCTGCCTCTGGCTCGACGACTTGATTGCTTTCATCGACAACGATCGCTTCGACTGCTCTCGACGGTTCGATCGACGGTTGACGTTCTTGGTCCTCGGCGACTGTCTCACCGGCTCGGCTGGTGGATGGTCGTGCGTCGAGGTTTCGCATTTGTTCCATCATTTCTGCTCGTCGTAAACGCTTGAAACGCCCTCGATTTTCCTTACCTGTCCACAAATTCGGTGGTTCCGGTACGACTCCGATGCGGAATCTCCAGCAATCCTCGTCGGGGTATTCGGGCATGGTGTAGTCCATGACTCGCACCGCAAAATTCCCATCCGGGGAATAGGCCACTATCAACGCACAGTCCTTCACTTCCGGAGACCAACCGGATGGATCAATCACTCCGTTAACAATGTCAGCATGCACCGGTTTGATGGTTACGATGCTCTCTTCGATGCGGACTATGCCGTATACCGTACCGGACTGGTTATTTTCATTCGAGTATCGGCCGACGGCAACATTAGTGATGGGTTGTGCCGTATAGACGGTCCAACTGTGTTCTTCCATGGTTATGGTTGTTAAACCATTGTGAATTGCCATGGGCCGGGCCGCTACCCAGTGAGTATGGTCCCAGAACTTGAGTTTAGCGCACCATGAGGGCGACTCAGCGGTGAAACTTTTACGTAATCGGCTGAAATTCATGACTGTTCCGACGTTCACACGAAGCAGTTGCTTTTAAGAAATCGACGGCTGGTGGTCGGTGTGAAAGTTCCACTGTGCGTGTGATAACACCACGACTCGGATCGGACAAGGAATTGGTCCTGTGTGACTTGATCTCGTTGGATTCGCTTTGATTCGTTGTTCACCACCGGTACAATGCTGCTACCTGCGTGGTGTATGATTGCCCGCAATCCTTCGATGGTTCGAATTAAAAAAAAACAAAAAAAATTCCGGAAATTTCGTGGAACAAGCGGCAGAAATTCGGCAGTACTGGAATTAATTCGTGTATACGAATTGTTTTCACACGATACGATGCGATTCCGTTGATTTCCTTCTGTGGTTCGCTTTGAACTGCTATTCGGTGCTGTTTGCCTGTAGTGTTGGCTCGTTCGTATGTGTGCGTGACTTGCGTTAATCACTGTTGAATCACATGAAACACAAAAATCAGAATCCAATTAAAGTTATTTTCCTTGGTTATTTCTTCGAAATTTGATTTTCTGTTGGTTTATTCGTAGCTTTCCAATTACCTGAGTGTGAATGTCGACGGTTTTCCTGCGGAATTACCGTTTCTTTTTTTCTGAGTTTTATTTTCCTCTTTGCCTTAGCTGTGCGCGTTGCTTCTGTGTGATTGGTATGCTTCTGCTCGACTGTCATTGCTCATGCGTTTAGCACTGCTGGTCGACGTGACGTTTTGGATTTTAGTACCAACGAAACACAACCGATGTGTGTTGTGACAGCTTGTGTGCATGCATAAATCGCAGTTTTTTTGACATGGCAAAATAATTCTCTTCTGTTTTCGTTTATTTCTCGACAGAAATTCAATTAAATCACGAAATTCGTGTTGCAATTTGATTTGCAAGTGTTTTCACCCTGAGCGGCAGTCAGCTGGCCAGGAAATATTCAATTTTTTTCTCTGAATTTCCATTCTGAAAATTCCGCCTGGTTTTCCTGTTTGACAGTGAATGTGTATCACGAGTTCGATGCAATCGTTCCTTTAGTCAATTTCCATTCGTTCTTGTATCCCAGATTGGAATAATTCGTTGCAATTTGTTGTCTCCGTAGTGTTGCACCGAGCGGCAGCCAGCTGGCCAGAAAACATTCGGTTTTCACTTCGGAATTCCTTTCCGAAAATTTGCAATGTTTCCAAAGCAATATGCGTTCGGCGGTGAAGGTGAAACCACAACACTTTGAGGCCTGTGAACCGACGTCGTTGTCTCTTCGAATGGCAATGCAACCAGAAAACAGGAAAACAAAATCAACAAAAACAATCATCCTCCCTGACGTTCGTGCCAATCATTCACTCGTCCTTGGGCATGCGATTCGTAGACACTTTGATATGTCTTTGGTTGCTGTACGGTCGATGGGATATGATTCGTTGGAATTTCGGTTGCAAATCGAATTTTCTTTCGAATCTGGTTCATTGCACTTTTGATCTCATCGCTTTCTTCTCTTTTCAGTGTCCGTCACCGATGTCATTCGAATCGTGTACGACTTTGGCTCTGATTCGCAACCAAAGCTTCGCTGGGTTCGACAGTCACTGTTCACATTGGTTTGCATTTTGTCACCGTGTCAACGTTTGATTTATTATAAATTGCCGTGCAATGACTAATTTGATTTCCTCTTTTCATTTTGCATTAGCTCGACCGGCGCTGGGATGCATCGTTTGCCTTGAATCGGATCGAGTCCATTCGCATTGCAATAGCAGTTTCTCATGGACGCAACGAGATTTGGATTGACCTTCATTCGCATGTGAATTCATTCTGACGTTCACCTCACCGAATGCAATTTGCTCTCGCATCGGCGGCCATCGCATTCCAATCGAATTTTCCGATTTTCATGGAAATTTGGGAGCGATTCTCATTCATTCTCTCGTTTGCAATTTGATTGCCATTCATGTGCGATGCATCGCTCGGCGGTTTCCACTTGTTTCAAATCAAATTAGCACACAGATTGATTGTGTTTAGCACTCGTCGACGTTTGAAACTTGAACGCGCATTGTTTTCATTCGTGCTCATACATCGGTGACATTTGCATGCATTACAACATTTTCGACTGAATTTCCACTTTCTAATCCGTTTATCTCCAATTTCCATTCTTATCGTAGCATTCAATGGGTGTCGAATCGTTTCGGCGGTCGCATTGGGTACTGACTTTGCGTTTCTGATCGGCTACACATCGATGTGAATTGGATTCTCTGTACTGGTTACCTCGTCGGACGGACGTTTGGTTCCAATGTGAATCGAAGGTTTGACTCTCGTCATGCAAACCGCATTCGCATTCGGATTCGGTGGTGCTGGTGTGCCATTCGGGACCGTGGATACACATTCGGTGCCTCGTCTTCATTTCCGATGGATCAAAATCGTTTGTGTATCGATTTATTGACCCAATTCTGTATGCAATCGCTAATTTGGTTTCATTCTTTTTCATTTGCACTAGGTCAACCAACGATGGAATTTCATTCTCGCACAATTCGCGAGTCAAGTCCGATTCATGTCTCTTTGACGGAAACAATTTCGTACACCGATGCCCAACTCAATTCATGACGATGTTTGCGATGTTGAATGGAGCCGACCATGATTTCACGGGTGCTTCACTCGATGTGAATTCGGATCGCAGTCGTTGAGTGACTTTCGTTGCTTCGTTTTCATGCAACTTTCAGCGTTTCGACGGCTGCATATTTCGATTTGTTTGCAACTCACGAGGATTCTCTTCTGGACAGCATGATGATTCACTTTGCTTCATGCTTAAGCCCGAAGTCGAACTCTCCTCTCTTTCCCATTCACTTGCTTCTTGTCCGGCGACAACTGCTCTGAGCCTCGCAATTATCATTTGACGCGAGTTGAGCTCTCCTACTTGTTTTCAAGTTATCGGCAGAACAATGAAATAAACGATTTGTATTTTCTTTCTTAAGCTTAGTATGAATTCGTCGACTCATTTTGCAATCGACGATGGCTATGATATATCTTAATTCTAAAGTTGAAAGGTTTAACGTCGATGCGACGATAATAAAAAATAATAAGGAAAAGGTGCATAAGGTTGGTTATTCCTGGAACGTTTGATGTTGTGTGTTGAATATTGCGCATGATTCTGGCTCGAATCGAATGCCATTTAGATAAGTCAATTTGGCTGCGATAGCCCGAACTTACGGCTGAATCATGATGGTATCGACTGTGTTTGTGATATGCCAACGCACATCTCGTGTGAATGAAAATCCCACTTGTGCACTTCCGTGCGTTTTCTACTCAGCAGTAGATTTGTTGCTGTGAAGCAATCAGTGACAGCCTAATCACCATCGCTGGCGGCATCTATTGATACTGTGCTGCCCTTAGCACCCCGGCTTGTGTCACTTTGGCCAATATGTAATCGGCTGTTGTACTGACTTGCGTCAGTCGCCTATGAGGCTGTCGATATCTTGTCGACGATGCTGTAAAGCATATTTGCGATTCGTTCCTGTCTAGAATAGGTAAAATCGACTCGGCTCACCCGCCTAAGGTCCGTGTCTCAACGGCGTCCACTCATGTGAACTGTACTGCAAAGTACATTCGGTTGTTATCAACCGATAACTGCGGCGATGAAAACCGCTTGGTGTCATTATTCAATGACAGCGTCGATTGATCCGTGGAACTCGTCCATTTCCACGCGAATATTCTCCACGATGGTCCGAGGTTGCCCTCAATCAATGTGACACATCGTTTTGTGGTTGTAAAACCGGTTTCGGCCGATGTTATGGCCGGGTTCATCTACTCTCCGTCCTCCCCTTGAACGTTCTCATGAATACCTTAGCGTACGGTTGGTTTTATTGGACTGCTCGCCTAGTCGACCCTCCAACACGTTTCCAACGGAGCGACGGTCCGGGTGTATCCTTTGCTTGCAATCCGATTTGTAAATGTTTTAACTGAATTTACAGCAGAATTCCGTTGAAATCTTTATTCGGCTGGTACTTAACTATGCAGCAGAATTTGTGATTCTTTATTCGGCTAGTTGCAGCAGAATGCTTTATTCGGCGGCTTGCAGCAGAATGCTTTATTCGGCGGTGGTTTATCCGTGTGTTTGACGATCGAACATCGGCTCTCAAAGAGCTTGAATAATTTGCTTTTCGATGTGTTCGTCGGCAATTCGTTTGTTCTCTGAATTGCGTGCGTTTGGATACGCCGAGAGGAATTACGCCATTCTTCTCTTTGTCTCGGCGGACAAGTTTTATTCTTTGGTCTCGACAGTGGCTAGGATGAGATCGTTGGCATGGAATACCCCTAACGATTTCTTCTGAGTATCCATTAGCTCATACGTGTCGTTTCCAATTGCCTTTGCGATGTAAGCGTTCTTTTTAATCGGAGCCAACTTTCCTGCGTGTTTGTCGGCGGCCGAGGACAGATTCGGTGTCTGATAGCGTATGCGATCTCCCACTTTGAATTTCCGGGTTTTCGCTCGCAGATTGTACCGTTTATTGTTGTCTTCGAACGTCTTACGTGCTTGTTCGGCAACTTCTTCCCAAATCAATTCCACTCGATCTGGGCGATTGTCATAATCGGGATTTGCGTCCATGATGATTCGGTATTCGTCTCCGGTGTGTACTTTCTCATGGCCATGAAGAATGTAGAACGGACTTTCTCCCGTACTTGTATGCGGAGTAGTGTTCATGGTTGCTACAATTTTCGGCAGCATTTCAGCCCACTCTGTATGAGGCTTCTTCTCGTCTTCAATCATGGCTCTTAACGATGATTTGATCGTTTTATTTGCGGCTTCGACGGGATTGGCTTGCGCGTGATAATTCGGTGTGCGCAAGTGACGAATACGGTATTTATCGAGCAATGCCTTGAAGGTTTTGCTCACGAATTGCTTTCCGTTGTCCGAAATAATCACTTCTGGGACGTGAAATGTGTTGAATACGTTCGTTTGAAGGAATTCGCAGATATTTTCGGCGGTAGCTCGTATGAACGATCGAGCAAACGTGTACCTTGAGAACACATCGATGCATATCACGGCATATTGGTGTCGTTTCTTCTTCGATGACGGCAACGGTCCAATAATATCAATCGACAGCATTCTGCCTGGTCGACCTGGATCGCGATATTGGCCGCCTTCAACTTGTGTGCCGAAGTTCGACTGTTTGCACATGCGGCAAACTTCGCATTTCGTGACGTATTGATATACATCTTGGTGCATGTTTTGCCAATAATACGTGTTCTGTATTGAGTGTAACGTTTTCCAATGGCCCATATGAGCGGAAAAGTCGTGGCATTCTTTCAAAACTTCTGGCACCAATTCTCGTGGGACACAAATGGTCCACAGGCGATCGCCTGTATGTGTGTTGTATTTTCCTCGGCGGTACAATTGACCGTTTTCGTATTTGTATCGGTCCAGACGTTCGTCTTTTGCTAACATTCGCGTTCGCATGTACCATTTATCGGCGGTATCGATATCTTGATTGATCGCAATCAACTCGACCGCTCGCGATAAGGCGTCTGGTGCGGCCATTTCCTTGCCGGGACGGTGCTCAAACACAATGTCAAATGCTTGCAATCGCACGGCCCATCGGGCGAGCTTGCCATGCGGCTCTTTGAGATTCTGTAGCCATCGTAAACTTGCATGGTCAGTTACGACTGTGAATTGCACACCATCGATCCATGGTCGGAATTTTTCGACGGCACTGAGTACGGCTAGACATTCTCTTTCGGTCGCGCTGTAATTGCTTTGCGTTCGGCTGAATTTCACGGAGTGATACGCGATGACGCGTTCTTCTCCATCGTGGATTTGAGTCAAGATTGCGGCTCCGGCCACTAGGCTTGCATCGGTGTAGATTTTAAATGGTAAATCATATCTTGCAGCGGCCAAGATCGGTGCGGAGGTCAAGCAAGTCTTAAGTCGGTCGAATGCTTGTTCTGTTTCGTCGGTCCAGTTGATCTTCCGATGATTATCTTTCTCGATCAGGTCTGTAAGTGGTTTCATGAGTTCGGCAGCGTTCGGAATGAATCTGCGATACCACGTAATCAAACCAACTAATCGACGGAGTTGACGAACATTCTCAGGTCGTTTGTACGACAAAATCGGTTGAATTCGACTTGGATCAATGGTGAGACCATTTTCTGTCAACAGATATCCAAGGAAGGTGACTTGTTTGTGACAAAACGATGATTTATCTCGGCTGATTGTCAAACAATTCTCTCGTAAGCGTCTGCCCACTTCATTCAGCAATTCGATGTGCTGTTCGAACGTTTCGCTCAAGATAACAAAATCATCGACATAATGATAGACATGTGGAGTCATATCGTGGAACACTTTTGTAAGCATCTTTGCTAAATCAGCTGGGCTATTTCTGAAACCCATTACGGCTCGTTTGTAGCAGTAAAATTGTGTTCCGACTGCAAAAGCAGTTTTCTGTCGATCGTCGGCGGCGATTTCGATTTGGTGGAATGCCTGGGTCATATCCAAGCAAGAAATGTATTTGGCTTTCGGCAGATTTCGCAAAATGGTATCAACGTTCAATGTTGGATACGCATCTGGTATCGTTACCTTGTTTAGCCCTCTTGCGTCGAGGCATATTCTTCCTCCTCCGTTCTTCTTCTTCACCCATAAAATCGGCCATCTCCATGGACTGGTCTCGATCGGTTCGATGATGTCACGTTCAACCAATTTAGTGACTTCTTTCTTCACTTCTTCGACGACGTACGGAGAAAGCGGGTATTGCTTCCTCATCTCAGGCTTCGCGTCAGCAGTGCGGATGTACTGAGTGTAAATCGGCGTCTTGTTGAGAGGACCCGTTTCTGGTGTGTACGGAAAGGAGTTCACAGTTTCAGTCAGAATCTTTTGTTGTTCTGGCTTCAATTCGTGAGGCATCGACACGCAAGGTGCTTTCTCGGGAAGCACGTCTTTGATGGTGTCGGCAGCTCCTTCCGCTGTTTGGACGGTGGCCGGTTCACTCGACTCTTGAAGCGCGGTTTGCATCGTTTTAGCTTCTTGTCGTACGCGATAACGGCGTTGCTTTCCGGGTTGGCTCTCTTTCGGCGGACGTTTGTGTGTCATTGTCATCATTTCCATGACTTCGGCAACTGGAAATGTTTGCACTTCCATGATGTGAAAAGTTGGCATGTCATGTTTCGGCGGAGTCGTTAGAGCAGGCGACGTTTCGGCTTGTTCCTCGCATTTCCTCGGGACGAGTATCTCTTTGAACAAGCGCATCTCTTCCTTTTCTATGGCGGCTAGAACCGCTTGGTATTTTGCTGGCGTGACCGTATGCTCTCGCCTGGCTACGTATCCGCGCGCTGCTAAGAACATCTTGCGCAGCTCGGGCTTTGGTGCTCGCATTTTACCAAATGGACTTGGCACCTTGTCAACCGTGTCCGTGTCTAATGTGCATATCGACATTTCAATCAGTGCGCTAGCCACGTCGGCTATCGATTCGATGTGGGATAACTCCTCCGGATCGTCCGACTCCTGCAGAGCTGACGTAATTTGGTCCATAGACATGCTATGATCCTCACCCGCCATCACTGGGCTGGGCGAACCAGAGCTCGGTACAGGTCGTTCGACCGTGTTTCCCGCTTCTTTTGCGCTCTGTGTCGATGTTTGGTCCATTGGTTGGAACCAACGTTCTTTGGCGTTGAGCATTTGAATGCCAGGTGATGATATCATGCAGACATCTCGAGTTGGAACGGCGGAACATCCATCGAACACTGACTGGTCGATAGTTAGTCGGATTCCGAATGCTCGGCAGAAGGTCATTCCAACGATGAACTGCGGTCTGAATGTTTTGACGATGATCACGGTTAATGTAGCTGTTCTGTTACCAACTGTGTATGATAGACTCATCTGTCCAGCCGCTCGTTGTCCTTGTTTGTGTAGGGTGGTGACGGTGTATCGACTCTGCATTAACTTTGCTTTGTACTTTTCCACTTCTTTCAAATCTGTTACTCCCAGGACACATTCCATGGCTCCTGTGTCCACCAAATGTGTCGACGGAATGCCATTGAGATCCGCTTGAATGTGTGGTCGGATATCTCCTGGGCGATCGAAGAAGGGTGACTCGTCGACGTACAAGGCGCTTACGAACATCGTATCGGTATTCGACGGTGGGATCGCTATTTCAGCGGAGTCGGTCGACGTCTCTGTGCGCTCATTGGTTTGTTCGACGGAATTCTGTACACTCGTCTCACTGACTTTAATCGGGTGTGTCATATTTTGGGTTTGTTTGTTATTGTTGCCACTTGATGATGTGATGGTGTCAGGGGTGTGGCCCGGTCCTGACACAGAAACTAGTTTTTTGTCGGTTTGGCAAGGCAGTTGGGACACTCATTCTTGTATACCCCTGGTCGATCACAACCATAGCAGTATACTCGCGTCTTGGCGTGTTTGCAATTCCGTCCGCGATGTCCGTATCGATCGCAGTTCGGGCAAATTGCTTCTTCTGTGCCATCAATCTCTCGATCTGGCTTCGTGGAAATCACGGCTTGTGCCTTGTCCTTTCTTTCAACCGGTTTCGGCTTTGATTTGAAACTTCGGTTGGCTCCATTCTGTGGGCGTTTGCTGAACTTAGATACCATTTGCGCCATAGCGTTAACGAAGGCCTCGACGGATTCGTCCTCGCTCTCTTCGTTTGGCTGAGTATCTGACTCGGAGTCAGGCTCCAGTTCATTTTCGACGGTATTGATGCGTCTGTCC